GCGTCTCCGCCGCCCGCTCCGCCGCCGAAGACTCCCCGCGCCGAATTCCAACACCTCCAAGTCCTCGCCGACACCAATGGCCGCGCCATCGAGCGCAAAGACCGAAAACTCGAAGAACTACGCACGACACTCGATGCGGAAATCAAGCGTCGCCGCAGCGCCGAACAGCGGGCTGAGGAAGCCCTCAAAATGCTCGGCGACACCCGCTCTGAAACACAGCGCCAGCTCAGCCAGGCGTACGAGATGAAAGGCATGGCCGAGACGTACCTCGAGACTGCGCGCGAGGGGTTCCGCCGCGTGGTGGAGGGGTACGAAAGGAAGGTTCGAGTCATCAACGAAGAGCTGAATGAGCTGCGGCGCCAGCGGATGGAGGATGCGGATAAGATTAAACGCCAGGCCGTTGTCGTCGAGCAGCTACACCATGAGATGTCGCGGTCTGCACGTGCAGAAGGCAAGATGGTGGATTTGATGCAGCGCTACAAGGAGGAGCATCAGCGCGATATGCAGCGCTTGGTGGAGGAGGCAGAATGTCTGCGCAGCCTCTTGCCGGATAAAGAGAATGCGGCGGAGAAGCTGGTGCAGGAAATCAAGGCGCTCAAGGATAAAATGAGATGGGTCATCACCCAGTCTGAACGGCAACGCCAGACGGAGACGAGGGGGGAGGAGAGGGACCAGGAACAACAATTGCCGCTGCGTTCGAGACCTCAGTCTCAGTCTCAGCCACAATCGCAATCGCAATCGCAATCGCAAATTCAACAAGGCACGCCAAAACCGCAGAAGAAGAAACTCGCTGCTCCTTAGTTGGGACGCTTGTATCGCCAGTCTGCCTAGAGGATCATCTATCCGCTTAACGAAGTTCAATGACGGCATCTCGGAGTTTAGGTCTTTTTCATTTCTTCTGGTATCGTGAATGAGTGGGCAAATGCGTGCCATGAAAACTGGCAACAATTGCATGCCCGACACGCGTTGTGTGAAGAGCACGGAGCCGGGACACGGGGGAGGGTCAGCCCTGAGAGAAGAAAACTCGAGGCAAAGTTCACTGTTTAGAACTACCTCCATGCTCCCTTGTTCTTTTATTAACTTTTTCAGGCTTGCAAGGGTTTTGGGGGCATTGTAATATTAGGCTTTTACTTTTGTGTTCTGTTTCTTTGTTGGATAAAATGCTTGATTAGGATTTGGGAGTATGGGATATGGATATGGACTTGGGGACTACGGGGGTTTTCGGGCGTGGGTGGGTGGATGGGAGTGCCAGGGGTAGGGGTGATGGGAATGGTAGGGGTGATGGGAATGGTAGGGGTAATATATTGGAGCTTATGCTCACTCTCACTTCGTCTTGCTTGCTTGTGACTTTTAGTTTAGAAGATACACTCCAGGTCCGCAGCAAAGTAATGGTGTAGACTCTTTTGTCAAGCTACTACCGAATGAACAACTACGGTACAACCCCAGCAATCCCACTCCAAACAAGGACTACTAAAAAGATGCACTCCTATCCCAATCACCCACATCAGCAAAAAGAATGGCAGACAAGCACGAGTAAAACACATCTCGAATTCGAATTATTTTACTACTCCGCTCACACAAACACCATCTAACAAAATCGCTTCCCTATTCTTCCACCAAAAGAGCAAATTGTACCAAAACGCAAACCCCGATTGTTGTTCAAGTTGCGCCAGAATTTCCTTCTAATATACACCAAAGATTGCGATGAATGGCAGGATTGATGGTTACATGCGATAGCCATACTCCGATAAATGCAGATGAAAGAAAAACACGGCTCCTTTGAGCGCGGGAGGATGTGCGCATTTCTCCCTCGCTTTGGGGCAAAGAAAATAAAACACCGCTGCTGATGGAAATGTCGATTGGGAAGTCGTCTGGTGTCTATACTTGTTTTTAGGTTTGAGTGTTGAGGTGGTGGGCGGGTACCCGAGATGACGGCAAATGCTACTCGATCGACAACGTACCATACCACCCCCTTTTCCTTGTCCCGTCTTTTTACTTTCTGGCTTTTCAGTTCACGGGCGTGCCGCACTGCGGACAGCATTTGCCTGGGATGACCCAGATGGTGTCGCCGCGTTCGAGACAGGCGGGGCAGCGTCGGCCGGGGACCTAAGATGAATGGCTGTGGTTAGCGAGTGTGGACATGCTATGTTCAGTTGAGAAAGATGGTATGTACCGGCATGGTGGTGATGCCCTCGACGTCGCTAAGGTAGCTGTAGGGAATGGCGATTTTGTCGACGGAGGAGTGGTGGCACATGATGTGTTTGAAAGCGGAGTGTGGGTGGTGGGTAAAGTTGGATGGGAGCGTGTGCAGGTAACCACAGGAACGCAAAACGACGAGCAATCGGCGAAGAAATCAGGGCTGGAAAGAGCGGCGAAGACCCAAAGTCTAGACCGATTCAAAGAGTGTATATGATTAAAGAACCGACCGGGACAGCAGCGCCGCTGTTGTATGGAGTAGAACGAAGAAAAGTAGACGAAAAGTAGACGAGTCCCTCGATTTTGCCTCCTCTCATCCAAGGGGGAAACACCACAGACTTTATGGACGAGCCGACCAACTTGAACACTGTATTTGTCAAGCTGGCCATCCCTCACACTGGTATGCTTTTTGTTGCGTACACATCTTGCTCACGTAGCGCCCGCGCCTGCCGCCAGCGCCAGACTGCACCCTCCCGGTCTCGAGAACTCGCTTTCAAACTCGCACACACGGTACACCCATCCAGCTCGCATGTCTCTTGTGCAGCATGCCCCTTGTGCAGCATGGGGAGGGGGGGGAGCGAGGGGGATGCGGCCGCCGTGTCCCGTCCCGCACTGCACCGCACCGCACCGTTGGACATGGCAGATCGGAAGGGAATCCCGACATCCTTGCGATCCCACGGAAAGGGAATGGGGAATTTGAAGGCTGGCTGAGTATCTGGGATCCGAGATATCGGACTTGGGGAGATCTTCGAGGCATGCACATGGAGCAGTGTGTCGAAAGACGTGGTATAGTACACTCGCCCCCTCTTCTTCTTGGACTACCTGGTGGATTCACTAGATAGGTTGCATACCGGTACTGGAGGGATCGCGAAAGGGACAGGGATCACAGCAATCTTGCTTCACAGATCGAGGAGCCGCATACCGATACCGCCCCTCTTTCATCCCGACCGTTCACAGACGGGGAAATCATCACTTTTCCCATCTGCATCGCGTGCACACAAGGGTCATTGGGACGTGATTGCACGGACGGAACAGCAGGGCATGCTACTATAGCATGCTATCGAGGACCTCTACTATACCCTACATCGGCTTTACCCAGTCCCACCACCTGCATACAACCGACGGGTTCACGATGAGCAGTATCCACTACGAAAACGATGTCGAGCCTCGTCACTTTCTCGCATCGCCAATGTTCTGCACGCTAGCAACGCCAGGTAGTTTTTCTAACTTAGGTGATCCCCCGCCGTGGATATGCATCGTCCCCCATGATCTGGGAAGCAAGCCGATCGTGTTTGGTTTGACACTTTTACTTTTTTGGGACCTAGCTGGGTGCGGGTACGGAAACTGACTGGTACCCGTCACGCCAACTTCAAATGAGCAAAGGTACCGATTGGTTTTGTTCAATTCACAAACGATCTTTGGATGCGTATACCCCTTTTGCCTAGCAAGTGACGCTGGCTTTGCGTGAGGCAATCCATCACGAAGCGCTGCGCATGTTATCATGTTATCATTTGTGCCTCTCCAACTTTCTGCGCGCACAACAGACCCCAAGATCGGCCCATGTAACCGGACCGGGGGCAAGAGTTTGCACAGACGAAAGATGCCCCCCAAGTACACCAAGCTTTCACGATCTGCCTCATCGTTTCCGCCCTGTGACGGGGGTCGCCAACCTACCTAGTCAGTCCACACCCACCAATTCCCGCAGGAAGGAAACAGCCGGTCCCGCCCCCAGCCCGATTTGGCGGCATGTAGGTAGGTAATAACGGAGAGAAGATGCGAGCCTTGCCCACAACCGACAAAGTTGGACATTGTGCGTCGAGTAACGGATTTAGCCGACATGTAGCCATTGTCATCGCGGATACCGGTACAGACGTTGCCTTGCGACCCCATGGCGGCGTCCAACGCATTACCTGGTTATTCTTGCGTGAAACAGTTTCCATTATTGCAAACATGGTCCGTCTTCGGAGGAAGCTGTCGGAAGCATGGTACCGGTACCGTTGTGCTGTCTGATATCTTTTGAGCAGTTCCGAGCTTACCCAGTTGCTGGATTGGCACTGTCGAGACAGCATAGCTCGTCCGTCCATTTGAGTTTCGCCACAGGAAGAATCACATATTACCGCCACTGAATCCCATTCTGACTGATCACATGAGGCGCAAGATTCCCTAAAGAGTCGACCTTTACCCGTCCACAGCATGTGTACGACATCCACCACAGGGCCACACAGGCCTCCGCGCTCCACAACTCCCTCTGGTCGCGCAGACCAACAAGACAACCAAATGGTCGAGGAGAACAAGAGCTTGTACGCCTCGAACGATAGCCGTTTGCCACATTGACGAATACCACATCACCAAGGCGTAGGCAACTAGCCACGCATCATGGCTCACCGACTCATCGACATGCCTATCGATTACAAGATCATCCGTCCCAAGCCCTCGGTCCCTACCCAACTCCTCCACCTCCATAACATTCAAGTCTCCATCCCCCGGAGCTGACTCCGCTGTCGCGCTGGCTACAGGAGGCCCTGGAACCGCGTCCGCTTGTTTCACGAGACGCGCGCGTGGGAAGATGAGTGCGTGGCCAAGTGCTCTGCGCTGTGCTGTAGACAGCTTCCACACTGATTGGGAGAGCAGAAAAAAGACAGTGGTGCAAGGATTCGCCAACTTGAAAGGCCCGTTCGGTTTTGTTGGTCGTTTTGACCGCTGCTATGTGCGCTTCGGAGACGCGGCTGTATCCATGTGTACCGTTGACGCACTACGATCCAGCCTTTTGAATACGAGTTCGAGGATATGCCAGACGGGGATCATATCCGCTGACATGGCATGCTTCGATTCGATGGGGTGATGTTGAGTAACGTTACGCACCCCACGACTTTGTGCATGCATACCGGTACAGCCGATTGTCAAAGGAATAACTTGAGATATTGTAACTTACCAAGATGGAGTCTATTCATATAAAGCTTTATGTAATGCTGAGTCACTTGGATGAGTACGATCGCTATACCCATACTGATTCCTGGTCCTTTTCAAACTAGTCATCAAGCCCTCTGAAGGCTACGGTACACAAGCTGATGGGCACTTACTTACTCCTAGCAATGAGTTAGTCGTGGACCCAACAAGGACTAGACAGATTTCTCTTCTACCTCTTCTTCTTCCCCTCTATCTCGCTCCTCCATAGCAGCCCTACTCACAGCAAACAAAGCCGAAGACATGGAGAAATTCTTCTGCTAGCTTAACAATGTTAACAATATAAAATAGATTCCACATCGAAGATACACCGTAGGGTAGCACAAATGCCTAATACACCAGGTCTGTGAGTGTGAAGATGATCATATTATGTATTGCTCTATGCGAGTTTAGTGCCATATCTTAAGGCATAGAGGAAGTTTCATAATGGCGAATGACGAGGAATCTCGCAGGAGCGTGTATGGATATGGACTCAGTGACTCGATGTGGTGGTGGCACTCAACCCATGGAAGCGGAAATAGTGGACATTTTATACACAAGCTCCGCCACCGCCATGTTAATTTTCTTAGAAATCGGCCTGTGAAAAGCTTTAAACTATCCTGGTACATGCAATCATTCAAAGGTTATCCCGTATGGCGTAATGGCAGCGAGCAACAGTTGCTCCAAAGTGCGGTTGACGGACTTTGCTCCAAGGAGCAAGGCGCCGAAGCTTAGGTACCTAGATGCCACTAAGCAAAGCGAAGCTCACGGCAGTCCGATCTTGACGCAATTGTTGCTCCCTGGTTTATTCGGTAGGTATAGTATGTGGATTACGTAAGCGCAAAGCTCCTCTCACATCAGATACAGTATGTGCATTCAGCGAAGAAAGCACGAAATCCAAGAATTCCGTATCATGAAGTCTTGTATACATACATACCAGTTACCAAAGTCTTTCTCGGCTTCATTCAAAATCGTCCAGCATTTCGTCCAGCATTGATTTTAGCGCGCATGGCATGGCGGGTCACAGATGAGGTAAAAGACGGGCCTGTTCAAAGCCCATCAGCTTACTATTTTTGAAAACCAAACAGTCCATTGGCATCTAGTTCACATCTAGACTGCGTCAATATCCCATCTATACTTGTAAGCGTATACACATGCAACTCATTCACAATATAACCATACGTCAGCAGCGCAAACACCAACCAAGCAAAGAAGGACAAATCGTCAACCAAATCTCATAGCAGTAACGTCAAAATCACCGTCAAAAAAATGCACAAAACTACGACAAAGTACAGAGATCAATACCTAACCCGCACCTATCTATACTCTACTCGATTGCCTACATATACCCACAGCATCATACAACCTTCCTCTCGGCTCTCCAACAACCCAGAGAAAATCACCAGACCGATAACCGTTTCAAGAATACCCAAAGCAAAGGCCATGCACCCCATCCTACCCACCGTAACCCAACCCAACCCAACCCAACAACCCCCCACCTTCCTCGCACCCCGGCGAACCTACAAGCAAGGCACCAGCATTCCACCAGGAATCAAATCTGCCTGGTAGGTAGGCCTTCAACCTCTCAAGAATTTCATATCAAGTTGTCTGCCAATCTCAAACTCGGCGTCACATCAAACCACCACCCTATCCCCCCCCGCCTCGCGCAGTGCACCACGCCACCACCACCATCTCACCACGCCAAACCCCCCAACCCACCCAAACACGGACAGGAAAAGCCCATGGTTTCAAAGCCCGGAGGCCGGGCAAGGAATCAAGGTAGATGGGCCGAATTCCGGGCTTTGTGGAAACTCGACAAGATGCAAAAGGAGTCTATATGGCTGGGCATGATACGGTAATAGAGAGGTGAATGTATAGGAGGTAGTGATTTACTACTTGTGTTTCTCATGTGCTGATTGTAAACTCTTGACGAAGGCTGTAAGCACGATGATCTCGCTGTATGAAACTTTTTAGAAACCAATTGTCACTTGTGTACGATAACGCTCTCCCCTCTTCAACTCCCACCCCTTTTATAAACCCCTCCCCCCCCTCCCCCCCCTCCCATCCCACCATCGAAAACCCCAAAACCCCCCCAAACTCCAAAAACCACTAACCCCCCTCCACCAATGCCACTCAAGCCCGCATACAAACTACTCCCAGCCATCAGCCACCAGCCATCTGAGGGAAATTTGGTTGGTGACGTC